ACTGCCGCTGCCTACAAAACCTCCCACTGCCGCTGCGGAGCCATGCTCAAAGCTGTGGGGCACGGGGTGGTGGTGGGGATGACTGCGTGCCACCTGGCCACCACCATGCTGCTGCTGCTGCCCGGCGGCTGGCCACACAGCTCCAGGCATGGCTCTGCAACAGCAACGGGAGGTTTTGTAGGCAGCGGCTGTCACCACTGTCACGGGTCTCCAGGTAAGCGGCAGCGGCCACCACGTGCGAGCCCAAGCCCCCCTCCCCAACCCCCGGTGCCCTCATCCCTCGCCGTGGAGCATAGAGGTAAGTGGGGCTGTGGGGCACATTCCCAAGGTGAGCAAGGTCACCCAGAGCATTGGGGAGATGCTTGTTCTGGATGGCCAGCCCTTCTCCTTTATTGAGCTTCCAGGGTACAGGTGGCTCATAGGGCTCGTGGCCCCATCTTACCAAGTGCCCACATGCACCACCTTTAGCAGGGCAGTGGTGCCCTCCCTGTATGAGGCATGCAAGGATTACTTGAAAGAGGAGCTGCACAAGGCAGGTCCACAGATAGCTTTGCACTTCACCTTGAACATCTGGAACAGCTGGGGTGAAGATCATGCTGCCTCTCCCTCACAGAGCACTGGTGCGATCAGTCAGGGTGTCGGTGGGCTCTCCTTCAAGCAGAGGTGATGAGCGAGTCCCATAGCAAGGGAGATCATGGTGGCCATGAACCTCATGGTGCAGGGGTGGCTCGTTGGGCAGGGCAAGTTCACCCATGGGTTCATGGTCACCATCAATGGGGCCAATACAGGTTTCCCTCGCCAACCATGGTTTTGCCAACCACGGTTTTGACTATCTGCAGTTAATATTCTGTATACCATTTTGCCTACCACAGTATACAGTTCTGAGTAACCATGATTTTCCGTGGTTACTCATATGTGGAGGGAGGAAAAAAAATTGTGGGGGCTGAGTGCATGAGTGCATGCACACACGCTCCCTCTCCAGGTGGGAGAGTCTGCAGGGGAAGGGGCGGGAGGAGGGGAAAGGGCCAGGGGGAGGAAGGGCTGCAGCAGCGAGGCACAGATGCTGAACCCAGGTGCAGCCTGCCCATGCCCCATTCAAAGATCAGGGGCCCACGTGCCCCCTCCACTCCTTGGCTCCATGACACAGCGCTGCCTCTGGAGGAGCTGCTGGGCTCCAATTGTCCCATGACCCTGCCCAGCCTGGCTGGGGGCCCATTCACAGTGAATCAGGCCCTGGCTGGGCTGACTCGTAGGCCAGTCTGAGCCCAGTGGCACCTCCAGAGGTGGCGCAGTGGGCCCCTGATCTTTGCACAGGGGTGAGCCACAGCTGGGCTCAGTTTCTGCTCCTTGCGTCCGCACCTCATTGCTGCCTTGCTGCCGGAACTGCCCTATCCGCAGTGGCAGGGAACAACAGGCCCGCTTGCTGCTGTGCCCTGCTTCCCTCCCCAAATTCGAATTGGCTGAATCGAATTGGGACAGTGATTTGAATCACCGAATCGAATCACTGTCCCTCCGAATGGGCCGAATCTGAAGAGACTACTCGCTGTTTTGCACAGACCTACTGGATATACCAAGAGGGGAAAGTGGGGAGATTCTTGTTTCCTTTGGAATTAAAAAAAACAAACCCAACACCCAATTGCTTCTCCTACAGCATCTACTAAAGTGATGCATGTGTGCCTTGGTGCCCCTACTAGCTCTGCCCCTGGCCATACCTCTGGAAACATCTTTCCCTCCCTCCTTCCCGCCCCAGTTTATTCTGCCTTCTCAAAAACAAGCATCTTATTTGGTGTGTGGTTTCTGAGAAAATGTGGTAATTTCCTCCTTCCTGCTGGGATAGTCTTTACATTTCATCAGACTGGAATGTGGACTATTTTCGAGTAACTCAGCCTTTTGACTCAGTCTTAGTCTTGCTGCACCCTCCCCTGCTCCCCAGTCCTTCCTAATCTCAGGATGTCTAGCAACTTCTACTCTGGCTGTTTATATATATAGTAGATAGGATTTTGTGGTCAGTTAATCAGTTAGATTGAGTGGTGGGCAGCGCCCAGAATAAGCAGGGAAAATAGGGGTAATTCATGGTAACTATCTCCTCTTTCCTAAAGGTCGACTGCTTTTGAAGTGACATAATTCAGGAACTGTTCATGAGTGTTATAGGAAAACATTTTGATGGGGGATACATGAAGGCAGGGGCAGGGAATAAAATCTGTTACAAAGTATCCACAGTAGAGCTCTCTGTTAACTCATATAGCTAGATTTAAAAAAAAAATGGTGAGTGACAGTTTCTATCATACAGCCCTGCTATTCTGCTTGCTTCTTTCTAAAAGTCTTTACATTGAGTAGTGTTGTATTAAATTGAGACCAGTCTTAAGGGACTGGTGTAAGTGAAAGAATCTTATTTATCCAATCAACATAGGATCGATCATGGTTAATTTGCAAAAATACTTTCAGGCTATAATTGTACATACAGGGTTTGTGGTGGTCAAATGATGTGAAGGGATTGTTAAGTGAGAGACACATTCACATGCTCAGTTCTCTCAAGTCATTCAACAAATTTGGCCATTTGTGAAAACTGGGTTTTTAGTTTTGATTAACCTTCTGTCAGTTCCCTTTGAATTTATTTTAATTGTTCAATTTGTTTATTTTTTTGCTAATCAGTTTAACAATGGTGGGCACTTAGAGCATAATAGCGGTTTAGGAAAAGTTGAAAAGGTTTCAAGGCTAGATTAACTTGTTTATCATATTTGCAAAGGAATGTTATATGTATCCTTGAGGCATTGATGTCTTGATCCTTTGTGATGATAAAACTGCTATGATGCTCTTAACAGAGAGAATAATATCTGTGGTGCCAAAGCCAATTTCAATACAGTTGTTTTCTTTACCAAAATTATATCTGCAGCTTCACAGGAACTAGGGGTTTGTCAGTGTATCTCCTTGAAGCTTCACAAGGGTGCAGAGCGGTCACAGGTCATTTCCGTCACCAGACAAAGCATGTTGGAGTAATAATACATAAAGAAATTTCAGCACATGCAGATTTATTTATGCATTTTAAATGTTTGGCAATCCTATATGATTAAAAGTGTAATGTCCATTTAAGATGTACAAGATCAGGGTGGCCAGTCTGTGGTAAGAAGTGGCATAGGCAGTGTCTGGGTGGCACATGACAGATCAAGGGAGGGACAGACAGCACAGTGGCTTATAAGGCAGGGAGCCAAAAGCAGAGCAGGAGACGGGGTTGGAGAAAGGGGATCAGAGTGGCACTTGGGGACAGTGGAAGGCTAATCTGCAGCACACCTGCCATAAATGTTGCCCCCCTCTGTACTAACATATGATTTAGACCGTAGGGTTTTGTACGTGGAAAACATTCTTGTTCCCTCTAAATTAGGTGTGCAAAGCTTTTAATGTAATTACTACAAGATGAATCAGGTTTTATAGTAAGAGACTATACAAGGCATTTAGGAAATGGTTTCCAAGATGTATTTGCAAAGTCAGCAACAGCTAATGCTCCTTGTGAGCACAGAAATACATGACTTTCACAGTCAAACTGTGGCAACTTGGTGCACAGTTCATTACCTTTTGCGAACACTATTTCCTGGATGTTTGAATTGTAAAAATGCAGACACGTGGATACAGATTTTAAGAAGAGGGCTCTGAAATCTGCATTTTCTATTTTTGCTTACTCCACCAACAGAGGGTAACATAATGAAAATATGGATTAATGTAGGTGGAACTGATGGAACTAGTACTTACAGGGAAACTTTATGTAATTACAATCAGATAGGACAGTTCAGTGTTTAAAATGATCATAGACCCAGCTGCTTTTATTTGTTGTCACTATGGTTTTATAAATCTCTTATCAAAATACTTCTTGAATTTCTGAACTTCTTTTGGAATGTGTAGTATTTTATTGAAAGCCATTAGAGCTTCATTTTAGAAAACATTATCTTCTCCCACCATCTCTGAAACAGAAAAAAATCTTTAATAGGCTATCAACTCCAATTGCTTTTGAATTGTTTTACTAAATGATTGAAGCAAGTGTGGGTAACCTGCGGTTCATGGCCCAGGCCTAGCCTGCAGAACCATTTGATCAAGCCCACGATTATGGGGCTTTAGCGGTGTTTGGAGGCAAGGTGCTTCTGCAGCAGTCACTTCTTTTGCTGTTGCAGGAGACCCTGTGGTGCTGCGAGGTGAAGTGGCAGCTGTTGTCCACCCCTGACCCAAACTGGGTCATTCTGGCCCACAGCCAAAAAATGTTGCTGACTACTGGACTAAAGTATTGTGAATATTCAAAAGAACAAATAACTTCATACAAATCAGTTTTTTAAAATGTTTGTAAATCGTTCCTGATACTTTAATAGGTCTTACTGTGAAAGCATACTGAATTAAAAAAAAAAAAAGGAAAAAAACCTCACTAGTAAGATTGATACTTTATTTCTAGGTGGACGTCAGACCCAAAATCAAAGAAATGGAATAAATATACCTGTGGAGAAACGTACAGAAAATGGGGTATGTAACATATGATGAAGTGTTTTAATGCAGATCATCATTTAATTGTTGGATATTCTTTTAAAAGTTGATATCAAGATCATCTACTATTATTGGGATTGGTAGAATCCTAAAAATACTGGTGCTTCACATTTTTGACAGCAGGTCTAAGATTACAGTTTAAACCCTAGATTCAGAGAATAGTTTATCCTTCTGCCTGTATCCATTTCCTTTCTCCCTCAAACTGTTTGATGGGGTATCATCCATATTGCATGTACATCAGACACTATCCCATCCATATCTCCCTTCTTACATGGGTTACTTCTCTGCTACTGGTTCCTGACCTGGCAAGTCCCTCTACATGATGGCTAACATGGAAACATGTATCTATGGATTAGGAAGTTTTGAGACGGTAGTTAAGTAGGTTGAGATTCCCTTCCAGTCACCTCTATTTATATTGTGTTAATCTTGTAACAGCTGCTTGGATTTTTTATGCCTGTTCTTAACTCTGTAAAATTTTTGAAGTATTTTTCTACTCTAAAAGAATGTGTACACTGAAGATTGCCTGTTCAGTGTGTTTCAATTATTACTAGCTTAAATTTGCTGCCTTTTACCCATGTTACTTAGCAGCTGGCATCTAAAACTGCACTTGTGCATGTTTATACAGACACGTATTTATCCTGTTTTTTGTTAATTTTTATTCAGACGTGTACTAAAGCCTTATTCTCATAGGTGCGTTATATATTGAGGGTCCCCACGAGGGCTTGGTGGAAGGAAGTTTTTCTTGATGCACACAACCATTTTATTGTAGAGTTACAGGTCACTTACTGCTAATACTTCAAGCACTGGCTCTGCCTTCCCTGCTTAAATTTCCTTGGTGATGGTTCAGAGAGAGCACAGCACTGTGGTGAGCAAAGAACATACAAGCCCTTGATAGCTTCTCCAAAGCAGCATCACTATGATTAATTTTCACTCGGAACCTCTGTGTCTTTGAAATTTGGGGGTGGCAAACATGACTGGTGATGTAATTGCCTCTTCTGTCTAGTTTCACAGTGAATGGAAGTGCAGCTCTGTGCCTAATTTGATACAGTTTAACATTTCTAACTCAGACCCCATAGTATTATTTAAGTAATTGTCTCCATTGTTACAGCTGATTTAAGCTTTGTTAAAAAATAAACACATAAATAAGTCAACCTTAAGAAAGAAATCGAACTCCAACTTATAAACACAAACTGACTGTGTAGGAACTGCAACTGAAATTCCACTCAGATTTACAAACCTGACATTTTGTGATTTAATTCAAGATTTTCCATTCATAAACATTTCAACAGTTGGCATTAAGCAATTCAACTAGTAATTGTCGTGGTGCCTATGAAAATAGACACAAATGGTAATTACATGAATAATGCAGGTTCTGAAGAGCATAGAGCACTATGACTGTGACAAGTTTGAAACTGGAGGGGGAGGGGGAAAGAGGTAGTTTTAGGATCAAGGGTTTAATCGGCTTACTCTTACGTAATGCATTAGGCTTATTCATTGTTACTGGAATGTCGAGTATTACACTGGCTACAGATGGACACTGAAGACGCTTACAAAATTTGGAGTTAGCAAATATTCTGTAATCAGGTATATATTTTACTGAATGCTTTTGTTAAGAATAATGAAATACTGATTTTTCAAAATAATGTTATTGGGGTAAAGCTGAAAGAGTGACTAGATTGAATGCTACGTAGGAAAAATTAAAAAATGTTTTTCTTAAAGTTTAAATCAATGCTTTTTTAAATGACAGTAAATCAGTTTTATTATCATTCAGTATCGGTTTATGGTAACAGCAGCTTGTCATCTATAGTGGGTTTTATGTTCTTTGAAACTGTTTGCATAATCTCCGCTTTTTGAATTTGAAATGGTGATTTTTAAAGTTACAGGCTTAAAAGTATACTCTTTTGATTCTGTCATTTTATTTTGAGAATAGATTTTAGGGTAGGTCTCTTCAAAAGGTCAGACATTCATTGTTGTAAAAGAAATACTTTATTCATATGTCTTTCTGTCTGAGAAACAAAGTATATTTAAAAAAAAAGGAAGTTTAAGTTGCCACATTCACAGGTACTGAAGAAAGCGTTGCTTTCCATGGGTTAGGTTTTATTTTCAGTCTTGCAAACCCTACTCTTTGGAGGGAATTGTTAATGAACCCATGACCCAATTTCTTTCTACTCTTATGAAGAAGGCATCCTGTTGGAAGAAGAGATTTGTGTAACCAGACTTTTTGCCTTGACTTGGGGACATGAGGTAGCTTCTTCAAACTGATTCTTCTTTTCCTTTGCAAAATGTCAGCTTTCAGGTTTTCTAAGTGGAAATTGTATTTCCAAATTGAACTGAAGTTTGCTATTTTTTTTCTATTTATGCGATAAGATTTTAGTTTTATTGCCTACATTGTGAAATTGAATAATACTACTTTTTTGCAGTGTTTTTTGATATGATCTTTTTAGTTTTTATTTTGAAAAGATTAAACAAATCAATCTTGTCCTAGTGTTGTAATGAGTTTTATTTGAAAAGCTGAGTTTGATAATCAGTGTGGCTATTTGTAGGGTTTAATTCATGTTGTGAATGGATTGTTGCTTGGTAACTGTTATTCAGCTAGGTAATGCAGTTAACTGGAAAAGCACCTTAATATTTTTAGAGGAGCCATTTCTTAATGGACCCAGCATTTAGAACAGGCTTCAGAGTTGGATCTAGTACCAGGCACTCCTTGAGGTCATGGTCAAACCTTCTTTAGCTTGAATAAGACTTCAGGTGAATAAGACTAGAAAACCTTTATTGTACAGCAGAGAGAGAGAGCAACCCTCCTTCTGTTGTTGAATGGCATCCATATTACTGGGTAGCTGGCTCTCCCTTTCTCTCACTCAAGTACTTGAGCAAGTCTGGTTGTCAAGATTTTGATGCCCTAGAAATATGTGCGCCACAAGAAACATTTTCATTTTATAACAATGATTTTGAAACAATGGTCTATAGAAAATGAATTGGTCATAGGATATTGGCTTTTGCTTGTTTCCAGTTGCTTCCACAGCTCTTCCTCCTAAAGGGTCTGATTGCCTGTTAAATTTTCTGGAAATAGGAAACAGGGAGGAAGATGATCATAGTTGTATCCACTAGAGGCCACTGGTACATAGGAGAGGAAATGGGAGACACCAGTGGGACTGGAGCTGCCAGCTCTCAGGAGGAATTGCAGCTTGGGAGTTTCCCAGAGGAAGCAGAAAAAAGAGCAGACGGTCAGATGTGTCCAGGTGAGAAAGGAACCAAATAACGAATGCATGTGAGAGGACCAGGAAGGCAGGGGTTAGGTTAGAGGAGAAAAAGGCCAAGTATCAAGGAGCATTGGAAAAGTGAAGGGAAGGAGGAGGACGTAAAAGGTGAATTAAAAAAGTAGATCACAGTGATTAACAAATCAAAAGGAAAACACTGGATGCATCTACACATGCCCCTGTGGTGCCATTGTTACTGAGCCATCATTTAGTACTTCTTTCTCAGCACATGGTTATTTTTAGCCCCTGCATCACTGTAGCAATGTGCTGTACTGAGAGAGCGTATTGCTAGGCAGTGTAGTGGCAGCATCGTGGTTTTTGCCCGCGGATGCTAAGTCACAGTAGCATGTTGCTATGGTAATGTAGCATCACATGTAGACATTACATTGAAGATGGGGGAAAAAAATCAGTTCATGGGGATAGTTTATTATTATTGGCTCAGAGATGCTGTGAGAATACAAATGGAAGGGAGGTGACAACTGAGATGGTCTCTTGGTCAAGAAGTGGCAGCCACTGTGAAATAGAAAATATATAATGTGAATCACCATAGCACCTTTCTTCAAGAGGGAAGGGAAGCAGCATGTGGAAATTGGAGTAGGTCTCTGCAATTTATTTTGCTTTTCCTAATGCCAGATTCCTCTCTACCAAATTGGAAGGAAGATCTGTTCATCTTTTCCTGGATGTGCCCTGGGAGGGACCTTGTTGCCAGGGAGTGCATGATAGAACCTAAGGTTGATCTTATGTACTGCTTTGGGTTTTGGAGTTAAAGGTCCACCCAAGGCTAGATGTCTCATCAAGCTAACACCTGTCACTTTTTTCCCAATGACACAGGAGAGTGGTGTAGCTAAGCAGTGTATCTCGCTTTCTGTGACTCCTCAGCCTGAATGACCAAGTACCCATTTACAGCGGGGTTAATCAGGAGTAAGCTTTGGTTTGAGTCTTAAGTGAGGTTCAAATTGATGTCCATGGTTCCATAGCAAGATATCTCTTAGTGCTTCATGCCTTGGGCATTTTGGAGCACTGTTAATGAGTGTAGGGGAATCTCACATAGAAGAGGAAACTTTTGGAGAGAAACATTTATTTTCTTGCCAAATGGAAATTAATTTCTTAAAGCCTTCCTAATTTGGAAGTGTTTGTCATTAGAAAGAAATGGGAGTTGATAATCAATTTTGGAAGTGGGTAGTAAACTCTTCTTGGGTTTCAAATAGCATTTTGCAGTAAAGGGGTTGCTGTGCATTGTGCTAAAACCTTGACAAACAGATTGGGTTCAAGTACTCTATCATTCGGAGAAGATAATAGACATCATGCTAGCTTTAGACTGGAAGGGGGTAGGGGAAGACTGGCTGTCATGAGAAATCAGTTTTTGGACAGGAAAACTCTATTACTTTCTATATTTATATAGGCAGGGAGCAACTTCTCTTAGTATTTCATTTGACATAAGGGAACGTAAAATCTCCTTAGGGAATTTGCTGTTTCTCCATCTGTGGTTTGCCCCTTTAATGAAGTAACAGTATGGACAGCCCTCAGCTTGGCAAATCCTTTACCTGAGACCAGGATCAGCTGAACATGAAAATGCTGGCATTTGAAAATTGATGAACAGAAAAGGATTTAGCAGTTTAGAATTCTAATAATCATTTGCTTCTTCTGTGATGCTCTTTGGTGGCATAATAGCCAACATTTTATGACTTATTTTGTTACATTGCTGCACTGCTTGAAGTATGC